ACAGCATCTCGAGTGGGTACTCAAGAAGCTGCACAAAAATTGGCTGTATCTCAGTGTGAACAAGTGCACCCTTTTTGCAAGGCGAGTCAATTGTCTCGGCCATGTCATTGACAAAAAGGGACTGCATGCTGACACGGGCAAGATGTCTCGCGTTCGCAACTGGCCTGTACCTCACAACTGTCACAAAGTACAACACTTCTTGGGCCTCATACAATACCTTGCTCACTTCATGCCCAATCTCGCTGCTTACACAGGTCCGCTTTTGAGCATCACATGAAATGGTCAGTCTTTCAACTGGTGTCCGATCCACCAGAAATGCTTTGATGAGATCAAAGCACTTGCGTGTAAGACCCCCGTCTTACACCCTTTTGACCCTCAAAACTCAGACCCAATCTGGGTAATTACTGACACGTCTACGTCAGGTGTTGGTGCAGTGTATGGCCAAGGTCCTCAGTGGGATAGCTGCTGCCCAGCTGGCTTCATGTTGAAGAAGTTCATGCCTGTGCAGCATGCGTATTTCACGTATGAAATGGAGGCTCTCAGTGTACTCAAAGCTCTTCTCAAATGGGAATATAAGCTCATACGCTGACATTTTAACATTGTCACTGATCATCATGCACTTGTCTTCATTCAGGACAAGCGCAAACTCGCACCACGACTCGAGCAATGGACTGAATATCTCAGTCGATTCGACTTTGAGATTGTCTATGTACAAGGCTCAAAGAACCTTGTTGCGGACTCATTTTCGCGTTATTTTGCTGACGAAGGTGTGGACGTACTACACAAGCCACAAGACTATGTATCTGCTGACATTAGGATTGACCCATGTGGCGAGACACTCTCAAACCCTCGTCCCACCAAAATCCGTGCTCAACCCGGGCGTGCGTGAAGCCGAGGAACTCGCAGCACACCTGCCACAAGTGGCACATGCACAGGATCAAGAGACGGATCCACCGGATGAAGACTCGGAGTCTCGGACCCAATTACACTCGACTCTGCAGTCTCCGGGCCACCATTGGATACAATCATCCAACAAGCTCTGGACCTGCACAAGACGAATCAGACAATCCGGTCGGGATACTCGAAAGATCGACTATTCCAGGCAATCATTGAGCACCCGGAAGATCATTGCGCATTCCCACTGCGCGACAGCCTATTATGGTATCGACTGTGTGCTGACTGTGAAGTACTGTGCGTCCTGCGAATAACGGTACATTGTCGAGTACTCCCTGAGATTATTCTCAGTGAAGCACATACTGCCATTGGACACTTAGGTACTTGTCGCATGTCAGACTACGTACAATGATGGTATTGGTGGCCGAACATGGTAAGGATATTGCTTCCTTCTGTGCGAGTTGCACCACTTGCCAAACTACTAAATTCTCACGTCAAAAGCCTACCGGCTTGCTCCACAGCATGCCAATACCGATGCGGCCTTGTCAATCAGTCGGAATGGACTTTGTTGGTCCATTTCCGACATCGCAAGGCTCCGACTATCTGCATTAGCACATGTGAGATGTACTGTCTTGCATTGGCCTACAACAGTCAGCACAATGTGAAGTCATGGGATTGTCTGATTTTATCTTATTTCCTACTATTTATCTAGCATTGCAGAGACAATCAGACTTTGATAATACTATGTGTGGTAGTGTGGTGGCCCCCACCTTATGACATTGCTAGCCTACAGATTTCCTCACAACAGTAGTAACTGCATAACACAACTTGTACCATTGAATGTCTTTGTATCACTTTGTAGGATCAGTCCAGTGTGAAAAAGCTCTGTGGACCCACAATTCTGATGGCTATGCTATTGACATGTGACACAGAGTCAGTATTCTGAGCATGCTCAGCATGAACTGTGGCCTTTGTGCCACAGGTGTCCACCATTTTCTGAATATGCCATAGCCTGCCCAAGGGTTTAGAGAGAGAAGCCAATCACTACTTACAGCAAACAGTACAAGGTGAGCCTGAGTGGTATTTTGGGAATTTTCCGCATTTTAGTGGGGCCACAGTACAGCAGGTACAGTGCCACTAGGAGCCTGTGGCTGAGATTCAAACTCAGCTCAAAACCTCGGCAGCCTGCCTGATTAGGGCAGAAAAGGGCTTGTCACCAATCAGAGCAGCTTGGCATCCCTCTCATGCCATTCGGAGGTGCAACTGTGGCCAAATTTCCGCATGGATGCACCTCCAAACGGCATCTGGGCGCCTAATGGGCGCTTAGTAAGCAATGTAAGTGCGGACTGTTACTGTGCTTAAGAGAGCTTGTATAGGCTCAGAAAAAAGCGGAAATTGAGACAATATTCAAATGATCCAGGCAATGTGAATGAAGCTGTATATTGCATGGGTTTGACATCAGATCAGATAGCATTCTCAATAACCTGGTAAGATGGTTGCTGTGGCCCCAGTGAGCTTATATAAGCCTGCTACTTCACTCTTGGAACTGCTCATGTACTGAACAACCCTATAAGATCATAGTGTAAGTACACATTCAGGTATGTATCCCTAGATTGTGTCTGTGAGCAAGACAAAGCCAGCAGTGGATGCATAATTACCATATGGAGCATGTGACCTTCCCAAAGAGGAATCATACACAAACAGGGGCATGTAGGGCTCAGAGAAATGCAGAAAATCTATGAAATATACAGATACATCAAAGACAAGTGTATGATTGCCTTGAGCTGCAATGGTTACCATTACATTGTATGCAAGGGCCATAAGATGGCAAAAGATGCTCAGATTACCCATTATAGTCCTTGTTACCTGTATTATTGAAGCTACTGAGTAGTCCACAGTGTCTGAACTACACATATACATTGCAGTGTACATATAGACCATATTTGAGTCATAAACAAGCAGATTGAATCTGCAGAGGCACATGTGCATTTTTTTGCTTTGCATTTCCTGGGTTAGCCAGCCACTGTATACACTCAATAGAATTTCTGTATACTCTCTGAATGAAGGGCTATCAGATGAGCATACTATGTATACTATGATTTGTTACTGGCTGAGGCTATATAGGCCCTACAGTGTGTGAGCGCTTGGAGCAATGGCCCACCAAGCTGCCAGTCACATGATATGTTTACCAGTTTCCTTATTGGGGAACTGCTAAGGTGTTTCATGGGCCTCATATCCATAACTGAGTGCTTAGCCACTGCATTTGTTTGTATCTGTTGGTCCAAGTGTCGTCTGGGAGTCTGAAATTTCAGACTCAGATAAGCAACCCATACTAACAGTTACTTATCTCTGCTTATCGGGGTGGCTGCAAGTCACGTGCACTGTGGGAACAAACTGCCATTCCGGAGGAATTCCTAAGGTGTTTCATGGTGGTCCATCATAAGAACGATACCTTCGTACCTCAGGGATCATAATTCACGGCAAATCTAGATAAATTTCACAACTGCATTCTGAGTGGACTAAGCACGGGGACATCTGCAATGGTATTGTCCAGCACACAGTGAGTGATCTTGTCCATTTCTGGGGCCTTGCACCAAGCATGCCCACAAGCCTTGTCTTCTGATACCACTATGATGTTGTCAAAAGCCTCTTCCCTGTGTACATGGCCTACTGGGTCTCCAACAAATACCTGAAGGACTGTTGCAGCGTTGTGAATTCACTCACAGTCTTTACTTGGAACTCAACCTCATGCCACAAGTACTGCCAGATATGCCTCATCTTTTAAAAAGCAGAGACCACACTGAATGTCAGTATATTCATTTGCCATGCTCACAATGGTTATCTTGACCCAGATCATGTCCTTGGTAAGTCTTCCACTGGCATCCTTTGTTTTCACACTGACTGAGCTTAAACAGATCTCATCAAGATGCAAGTGTATATTGAATGTTCCAGTCCATATGCATGTATTATTGTGGTCGCCAAGAGTCCAACAAGCTGGTTCAATGGCATGATGGTGTATGACTCAGTGTATGAGTGGAAGGCCTGGGCTGTGAAATACAACCACACCATCTCTACGGGGATCTGTCTACCTGGGAGGAGAAGGGGGGTGCACAGCTGAAGACCTTCGTGGAGGGATACACCACTGAAGTGCATGAAGCAGTGCGTCACACACAAATCTGCTCGTTGTTGCAGCACTAAGGTGAACTGGGCAAATAGGTGGGCACAAAACCAAGGCAACACGGAGAAGGAGATAAAGGTGACCAAACTGTGCAGGGTACACATTGTTTGTTTTTTCATATCCAGGGGTCTCTCTTACTGTCCGCAGAATGGTGGCAAGAAAGGCACCACAGCTAGGGCTGATGGTGTTGGCAACGGTACTACAGAAGCCGGTCACAGTGCAATCATTTCGGGGAACCCTCTACCAACACGGGAGCCCTCCAAATGTGTTGTAGTGCATGCCTCTGCGCGGTAGGCTGATTTCCCCATCATTGCTTTTCTTTTTACTGTGTTTAACTGTATCCAACTCTCTCACCAGCGGGCTCAGGCCACTCAGCATGGCTCCGGTATGTGCTTACCCATAGTTCCACAACTCTACTCAGAAAAAAAAATTATTGGTCTGCAGAAGTGCAACACAAGCCAGGCAGCACATGCCCCTGTCAATTCTCAGATGCAACATTGGCATTGTGACACAGTGTTCTCAACAGCCCACAACAAAGGAGATAGTGGGAGCAAGAGCAAGAGCGAGGATGCCATCATGGGTCCTGATGTGCAAATGGATGATGTTGCTGACGTTAATGGCAGGGTCAACATGGCCCTCAGCCTTTGCGTTATCCTCAGAGAAAATGACACTCAGGCTGGAAGCAGGGATTGTGATGGACACGATGTGCAGGACCCGGGAAATACAACAGAGGTTGCTGTGCCAATGTCATCTCAATTACAATCCCTGAGGTACAAAGGAATCATTCTTATGACTGGAGAGAATGTAACACTTAGCATGGAGCCCAATGTGGCAGGTTTTCCCCACAGTGCATGTGACTGTTTGAGTGCCAGATAACTGGTGATAAGTAACACTTACTATGCTCACATTAGCTGAGCTAGTGTTTCAAATGGATTCAGACTACTACAACGTAACGGATGTCGTAGCTGAACTGAAAGGTACGCCTTCATATTGTTTCCTTAGCAGTAGACCTCATTGTGCGATAGGTGCAACCCTGGAAGCGCCAGGCATGGTCAAGAGAGACGGGGTACGTATCGACGATTACCCGTGTCATTCTGAGAGTCTGACATACTGTTCCAGGTGTACTGGTTGATTGCTTCTCACACTAGTGGATGGGCACCCAACCCGAACAAGTACTTTTACGCGGATGTGAGTGTGCATCCGCGAGACGTCCTTCTCACACAAGTCATCGTGACGATTCCCATGGCAGAGTATCTCGGGAAATTGGTCCAGTCAAGCCGACATAGCACCGGAAGACACGAACACATACTTTTCACAGAATGCCTACGATTTACCTCTGGGAACGAATGCGATCTACATGGGCGATCGCTGGGAGCCAGATGTGCTTGGGAACAGCCGCTACGTCTGGTACCCGCTGAGTTGGTCGTCCGGTAATCCTCAAATCGTCTACGCCGACGTATGGACCGTGGACCTTGACGCTGGTAAGTGCACCGTTAGCCGACTGCGATTAGCTTATTGAAACGGGTGTGGTGCAGGTACATACGCCGTGCAGAACGGCACCACATACTCTGCTTCCACAGGTACCCTGAGCGGAAATGCGGAGCTCCTTGGTTCAAATTACACGTATAATGGTCATGAAGGCGTAGGGTATCTTGGTGCGTTAGTTGACTGCAGTACAAACAAGCAAG